ATGTCCGCGCCCCCCCCCCCCCCCCACAGTTGTAACACCAGCCGCCTCTCCTGGGTGACCCTCTACCAGTCACTCTGGTAGCACCAACGGTAGATGTTCCCTGAGGTCCTCCTTGGACTCCCCGTCGTCGGTTCCCGGGCAGCACCACCGGCTCCCGAGCTCGGTCCACTGTTCACAGCCTGGGGCTTCCTCCCCCTCATCCCTCGAGCTCTTGAACTGGTATACTTCACTGGGCAAACTACTGTTGGGTGAGTCCCCACCTGTCCTGGCTCCTCCTGAACTCTTAAAGTTCCCTCCAGACCTTGTGTAATGTGAGTGTCTGGGCGGTCCCTCCCTTCTGAGATGCAGTGCCTCCTCCAGCATGTCGGCTCAGTCCCCTGCAACTTTAAGATCTTTTATTCCTGCCTCCTTCACTCTGACCTTGAGTTCCGGATGGAGCATTGACATGAATTTTTCCATCACAATCAACTGTTTCAGCTCCTCCATTGTCTCTACCTCTTTGGCCTTCAGCCATTGTAGAAACATGCGCTCCATGTCCCGAGCAGTCTCAGCATATGACCTTCCTGATGCCCTTGTGCAATCACGGAAGCGTTTCCTGTAGACCTCCGGGGTTAGTCTATATGAGTGGAGCACCACTTTCTTGATTGTGTCGTATATGGCGCACTCCTCGATGTCCAACATGTTATAAGCCTCTTTGGCCTCACCAGTCAATCTTCTCTGCACTTACGCAGCCCAATCCTCCTCCGGCCATTCCTTCAATATTGCTATCCTCTCAAAATGGTCAAAGACAGCCTCGGCCTCCAGAGGATCAAAGGTGGGTAGATCGCGCTCCCGAGGCCTTGAGGTCGTCCCGACAAGCAGGCATTGAGACTACCCCACATTCAATGCACCTCAGCTCGACCTCCCTGTTCGCCTCTATCTCAGCTTGCCGCATTTGTAGCTGGGCTTCCCTGTCTTCTTGTTTCAGCCATGCCTCTCATTCTTCTTGTTTCAGCTGCGCCTCCATTTCTCGCTCCTCACGCTGCAGCTGTGCCTCTCTTTCTTCTCTATTCAGCTGCGCCTCTCTTTCTTCTCGTTTCAGAAGCGCCTCTCTCTCACATTCTTCACGCCACAGCTGCACCTTTTTTTCTTCTCGTTTTAGTTGTGCCTCTTTTTCTTTTCGTTCAGCTGCGCCTCTCTCTCACACTCTTCACGCTGCAGCTGCACCTCTCCTCGCGTTGCAGCTGTGCTTCTCTCTCCTCTCGACACAGTTGGGCTTCTAATTGCATTCTTATTATTTATTTACTTATATATATACAAGAAAGTACATTGGGGGTTAAGAGAGAACATAGAGTTTAAGTTGGAATTACAATCTTGTAAAGCCACTAGCACACATAACGTGCTAGTGGCACGCTATCATCTCCATCTCACTTCGTCGGGCCGCTTCGCCAACGTTGGCCACCGTCTCCCACACCGCCTCGTCGTTCACACACACTGTCCTCTTCAACAGTCCTGGATACAAGCTGCCCTGCAGCCTTTCCTACTGCTAATGTATCAATGTTATACTGAAACATGCATGTATAAATATCGTGGTCTATCTAGCCTACTCAACAAAGGGTAACGGGAGAGAAAAATTGATCTACCTTTACATTCCTGGCTCACGATGCCTATCCCTCGATGGTGTGAGGATCCCACGATTCCTGAGTCGGTCCTTGATGATCCAGTAACCCGTTACAAGTCCTCAGGTGTCGTGAAGCCGTCGCGTCATCGCCGAGCCACTCCCAAAGTTTCAGATATCCCAGTCCTGGTTCACCCAGTGGGCACTTAGCTAATCACTGTATACACACACTCGTTCCTTCCACAAGGCATTGCTCCTTGTCCTAAGAATGGCGTCATCCCTCCAACACTCTCAGTGGGTGTGATCTAGTCACAGCAAGCCTGCTCGCCACACAATCCAGACCCCTCAAGCGTCAGGTGGCGCCCTCCAACATCGTCGCCGACCGATTTTTCAAGTTTTGGCACTTCTCTGCCCAATAAACTTGGTTTCTTCTTGCTTTCCAGAAGCACAGGGTCTCCAGTAACATTGATGGGCTGCGATGACTAACTATAATCCACTGAGAAGGACTCCCAGAGCCTCCAATCCTCGAGAGCTGATCGACGCACGTCCTCTCGCATTCACTGTCAAGTCAACTCTGAAGTTACCTCCACCGGGGCCGCCAGGGGCACTCGGTGGGTCACGGCGAGCTCTGATTGGTCTCCAGCGGCACGTGACCTAAGTCAGCCAATCCGCAGCTAGCTGGCGTTGTCCACAAAATGGCGGATCTGCAGGTAGGGGGGCGCCATTTTGTTTCTATCAAGGGCACCACTTCCCCCATTACCTACAAACATATAAATGTAAATTTCTCCCTTATCAGGCAGCCGATCTGGTCACCACATACATCAACAGACTCCCTGCATCTCAGAGAATCAGCAGGGTAAGCTGATATGACTCTTAAAGCCGGATTTGGAGAGAAATAGAAGGGGCTCCATAACAATACGCATGTTATATATATAAGTATATACACGTTTTGTTGACCATAACTTTTCAACTAAGTTGAATAGTGCCGAAAGAGCATAGTGGCCAACCTTACACAGCATGACAAATCATTGCAGATACTGCCACCTCTCATCAAAATGGCTTCTCCCAACACTCCTTTTGCTGTTATTATACTATATATATATATATATATATATATATATATATATATATATATATATATATATATATATATATATATATATGTCGTACCTAGTAGCCAGAACGCACTTCTCAGCCTACTATGCAAGGCCCGTTTTGCCTAATAAGCCAAGTTTTCATGAATTAATTGATTTTCGACTACCTAACCTAACCTAACCTACCTTTTTCGGCTACCTAACCTAATCTAACCTATAAAGATAGGTTAGGTTAGGTTAGGTAGGGTTGGTTAGGTTCGGTCATATATCTACGTTAATTTTAACTCCAATATAAAAAAATTAACTTCATACATAATGAAATGGGTAGCTTTATCATTTCATAAGAAAAAAATTAGAGAAAATATATTAATTCATGAAAACTTGGCTTATTAGGCAAAACGGGCCTTGCATAGTGGGCCAAAAAGTGCGTTCTGGCTACTAGGAACGACATATATATATATATATATATATATATATATATATATATATATATATATATATATATATATATATATATATATATATATATATATATATGTACTCACCTAGTTGTGTCTGCAGGATCGAGCATTGACTCTTGGATCCCGCCTTTCGAGCATCGGTTGTTTACAGCAATGACTCCTGTCCCATTTCCCTATCATACCTGGTTTTAAAATTATGAATAGTATTTGCTTCCACAACCTGTTCCTGAAGTGCATTCCATTTTCCCACTACTCTCATGCTAAAAGAAAACTTCCTAACATCTTTGTGACTCATCTGAGTTTCAAGCTTCCATCCATGTCCCCTCGTTCTATTACTATTCCATGTGAACATTTCGTCTATGTCCACTCTGTCAATCCCTCTGAGTATTTTATACGTTCCTATCATGTCCCCCCCCCCCTCTCCCTTCTTCTTTCTAGTGTCATAAGGCACAGTTCCCTCAGGCGCTCCTCATATTCCATCCCTCGTAGCTCTGGGACGAGTCTCGTTGCAAACCTCTGAACCTTTACCAGTTTCATTATATGCTTCTTCAGATGGGGACTCCACGATGAGGCGGCGTACTCTAAGACTGGCCTCACGTAAGCAGTGTAAAGCGCCCTAAATGCCTCCTTACTTAGGTTTCTGAATGATGTTCTAACTTTTGCCAGTGTAGAGAACGCTGCTGTCGTTATCCTATTTATATGTGCCTCAGGAGATAGATTAGGTGTTACGTCCACACCCAGGTCTCTTTCGCGTGTCATCACAGGTAGCCTGTTCCCCTTCATTGTGTACTGTCCCTTTGGTCTCCTATCTCCTAGTCCCATTTCCATAACTTTACATTTGCTCTGTGTGTGTGTGTGTAAATCACGAAAAATAAACATGTGATTAAAAATGTGACAGTGTCAGACCACGGAGGAAGAATTGAAACAGGAATTTCCTTAAGTACTTTCGTGTATTAATACATCTTCAGAAGGAGTGAATTACAGGTCAAGTATTGGACATATATAGGCAGGAGAGAGTGGTGGAGTGAGGTAAGGTACAATGACAAATGAGTGGGAATTAGGCGTACACAAATATGAGCCACATAAGAACTGTAGAAGGCCTATTGGCCCATATGATGCAGCTCCTATTCATACCCACCAATAGGCCCACACATGGATAATAATAGCATAAGATAGTAAATATTTACGATGAATTAGTGAGACAAATGTGTATCAATGATCCTACTCAAATCGCCCTTTAATTGATCTATCAAAAATGGATCCAAGTTATATTTATAATGTTATCTAAGTTATTTATTTATTTTTGTCCAGGTCTTCTATATCACTTATTTTGTCCAGGTCTTCTTGAAGGCCATGACAATCATCTAGGTTTCTTATCCTTCCCTATTATCTTAGCATCATCAGCAAACATGTTTTTGTAATTCTGTATTCCCACTGGTAGATCGTTTATGTAGACAATGAACATTACCGGTGCAAGAACTGATCCCTGTGGTACTCCACTCATGACATTCCTCCAATCCGATACCTTGCTTCTGATTACGGCCCTCATTTTTCTGTCAGGAAATTTTTCATCCATGTTAGTAGCTTACCTGTCACCCCTCCAATATGTTCCAGTTTCCAGAACAACCTCTTATGGGGAACTCTGTCGAAAGCCTTTTTTAGGTCCAGATAGATGCAGTTAACCCAACCATCTCTTTCCTGTAATATCTCTGTGGCTCCATCATAAAAACTGAGTAAGTTCGTTACACAGGATCTTCCAGATCGAAAACTATACTGTCTTTGTGTGTGTGTGTGTGTGTGTGTGTGTGAATGAGTGCAGAGTATTTTAAGAAGTAAATGATTACTCACCTCTCGTCTCAATGAAAATAATGAACGTCCAGCAAAATGAAGAAATTCTTCCCAACGTTTCCTTTTCACTTCGTCATCATATGGGGTTACAAAATCTCTCTGAAAACAAGTTTGGTTTTTGAGATTTTCCAATTCTTTTACACTATTAGATATTTGGAAAATCAATCTTGTGACCTGACGTATGCGAAGATTTGATTCCCCAATTCCTTGGTGCAGGGGTAAAGGACGTTTTGTAGCAACTTTCTTGGAGGTTTCAGAGAGTTTGACAGACTTTCCAACTCCAGTTTTGCTCAACCTCTTGAACACATCAGTCCTCTGTTCATTCTGCTGATGTGGCAAGTCATCACTTCCCCTCACTTTGGTAAATGCTGCAGGTTTTGTATTTTCATTATTATCTGAGGTAGAAGCTACTGGTTTTGTACTTTGATTACAATCTGAGGCAGGAGCTGCATGCTGTTCATGTGCTAACCTGGCTTTCAGCAGCTTGTATCTTGCTTTTAGCTGTGCTTGCTGAATTTCATCAGCTTTAAAGTGCTGAAATCAAAACAAAACATTCATATATATAATTAGCAAAATTGTAAACAATTATTTGCAAACTTTCCAAAGCATTTATATTTCACATACTGTGCTGTAATTTTCATGTTTACTTTGATAATATCATCAAATTTTTAATTCATATGTCACCTACAAAAATATGGTTGTTATATATAATGTATATCTGTTTAATATACAGTACATAAACCCAGCATTAAATGTAATGAAATGCCACTTTCTGAATGAGCCCCAGTGGGTCAATCTCACTAAGATTACTGCATTCAAATGGCTTACAACAAACAGGGAATTCTGTTTGGCCTACTGGGAACCAGAGCCAAATCCTGGCCCCCCATAACTACTCAGTGAGGCACAGAGAGTGAGTGATAATTCACCACTACACCAGGAAAGCATCTAGAATGTCATCAAAGCTTTAAAAACACCTGGAGAGTTAACAGAGACTAAAGCCTTAAAATCACCAAACAACTTTGCAAATAATTCACACAGAAAAAAAACCAGCGTTGAATGTAATGAAACGCCATTTTCTGGGTGAGACCCGGAGGCTCCCCGGAGCTTTACCAGGCTGATATGCTAATGTCAGACTTTGGCATCAGTCATGTGTATGGAGTTCTTGGGCCTACCGGGGACCACGGTCAGAACCTGGCCCCCTCAGAGAGGCAAGGGAAGCAATGGCCTATAGAAACCCCCTTGAGATTAGAAGCATTCTATGTCTGCCGTTGACCTGGTCAAGCATCCAGAAAGGTAAGCATTCCAAAACAAACCCCCTATTCTGGTTAAAATTACTGTAACCCCGCGATTATCCGGGATTCGAACATCCGAAAAACGCCCTTATACGGCCAAAATCGTGAACGGATAAAGTTATCACAATATCCGGCCAAAATAGCCACAGGGACCGGATTAAAGCAGGTTTTCTGCAGAAATTACACTATCCGGTCAGTCCCCCAGATAATCGTGCCTTTGTCCGTATATGAAAACATGAGGCAGGCCATATGGTATTAATCCCGTCTGCCCGAGACTCGAGGCGCATGGTGTAGGTGGGGGTGGGGTGGGTGGGTGGTGTTGGGAGGGTGGGAGGGGTGCGTCAGGAGGGACTACCTGGGTACAGGAATTACCATTAATTTTAGAACAATTAATCATAGCCAAAAACAAATAAAATAACTACTAGTAATTATGTAATAACAAATAAATAAGTTTCCTAAAAGCATTGTGCACAGGCTGAAGTTTCCTTAAAAAATATTGTGAATTTTTTTCCTCCTGGCGGCCTACGTAACGCTATGGCTGCCCCAAGTGGACCTGTCCAACACTGGTCAACCCATGTGCGTCCGTCCCTCGTGTTATACACAGTGCTGCGCCATTAGTGAAATATTTTTTTAAATAACTTTTTTATTTTCATAGTAACTTTGAACATTTTTGGCCAAGACTATGTCTGGTAGCAGCATCAATCGTTCTGGAAGTGTTAAGAGGAAGAAGATTGTCCTAGCAATTAAAGACAAGTTACGTGTTGTTCAAACAGTGAGGCGTCACAGGCAGCCAAGCGCCTTCAACAAGTGAGGCGCCACAGGCAAGCCAAGCTCCTTCAACAAGTGAGGCATTATAGGCAAGCCAAGCGCTTTCAACAAGTGAGGCGCCACAGGCAAGCCAAGCGCTTTCAACAAGTGAGGCGCAAGCAAGCGCCTTTAACAAGTGAGGCGTCACAGGCAAGCCAAGCGCCTTCAACAAGTGAGGGCATGCAAGCGCTTCAACAAGTGAGGTGCAAGCAAGCACCTTCAACAAGTGAGGCCTCACAGGCAACCCAAATGCCCTCAACCAGTGAGGCTTCAGCAGCTGGCAGTCAAAACTAACTTAGCTTAATGAACTGTACAGTAATTTTAAGTGTTAATTTTAGTGTTGTGTTAGTATAGGTTACGTAAATTGTTAAGAATTTTTAACTTCAAGATGTGTGGCATCAATCAAGAAGACGAACACCAACAAGGTAAGTTGAGGTTTCTAGTTGAATATTTAATAATTGTATGTGGCAAGGCAATTCAAATTATGTTGTTTGTAGTATAAAAATAGTTGAAAATGGTCACTTTTGGACTCGTAGGTGAAAAAGTACCATTATCCGAAAAATGTGATAATCCGGCTGGGGGTCCTTCCCATATAGTCCGGATGATCGAGTGGAGACAGTACTATCAAAAGCCGAACTAGGGGATAGAACTCCCCAACAGAAAACAACCAAACTAGTATGATGTCACACGTCACCGCGGCGCTGTCTGCGCAGCTCCCTCCTCCCTGGGAGGGGGAAGGGGGAGCCCCAGACCACTCATGCCAGCAATCCACCCATCAGTTCTGAGGCTGGATGTCAAAACAAGCGAAAAATCACCGACCGGAGGGAGGGGGGGGTTGCCAGGGAGCCTCCAAGTCTCACCCAGAAAATTACATTTCTTTACATTCAACCCTGGTTTTCTGGGGGGAGCCCCGTTGGCTCCCCGGAGCTAACTACCCACAGAGGAAGGTCAAAGGGACGGAACCGGGAGGTGGACACCATGCACTCCTCAACAACCGGAGAGCAAGACGACTGGAAGCAAACGCCAACCCAAGGCGACACAGCCCCGAAAGGGCCCGGGAACAACACGAGACGAGCAGCAAGGCCCCTGTACGAACACCAAAAGATCCGTGACCGAATGACAGCAAGGACACGCCACCCAGATGGCAGCAAGAGCAGCGAAGCCATGAACGTCACAGGCATGGGGAAAGAACACAGGTCGGCTAGCCGCAATAACACGGCAGACAACCCGGGACACCATCACCCACAAACAGGGAAGAACGGAACTGGATCAACTCAAAGCGCGCCCCGGACATGGCACACAAATAACAGCAGAGGGCCGCCACTGAACACAAAACACAACACACCCCCGGCCCGACTAACCAACCACCAACAAACCAAAGACCCCTCCGGAAAGCAGAAGCCCCATCCCGTGCCAGAAAAGATGGAGACCGCTGCCACCGAACAACCAAAATGCCAAAACCGAAGGAGCAGAAAACCCCTGCGGAGGAGAGCAAGAAGCCCAGCGACCCAACCCCCAGAGGCAAACGCCAACAGGAAAAAGAGCCGATGAAAAACAAACCGGAACCGAAGGGGCACCACCAACAGAGGAGAAGACAGACCACGCTGACCAGAGATCAGGACGGTGCAAGCGGTGCACGAATAGGCCGGAGGTGAAACAACGCACGAGACAGAATACTAATGGTGCAGAAGCAACACCAAGACCGAAAGCAAGCTGAAGCGGCTCCGCCAGCGCCGCACGAAATGAGGCGAAAGTATGTGGGAAGACGACGGCCCCAACCCCCACCAGAAAAACCAAGCCGACGCTAACAACTGCAGCCACCTAAGAAGGGACAGGAGGAAAAGGAAGAACCGCCAAAATACCCCATACTGCCGCCAAGAAGAAGTACACAGGTAGGACACCAACAACGATGCCACCAGACCACCAACCGGAGGTGAGACACACATAAGGCAGAACATAATCGGCCCCGACAAGGCTCATCTGAGCCCAGGAAAAGGTGGAGCTGCGGGAAGATCTCGGGCGCGACCACCAAAGCCCAGGCAGGCACAAAGGAGATGGAACGTCTACCGAACAGAAAGCTCCCCAATGCGAGCAAGCCCGCCAGGAGATCAGAAACAACGGGTCCGACGCGAGACATCGCAAGACCCTGAAAAACCAACAGGCAGGGCAAGCCAGGAAAACCGAAGAAGGCGTAAGGGTTGCCACCAGAACAGTACCCAAACCAAGGGGTACGAGCAATGAAAACAGACGAAGACACATAAGCGCACCATATGACACAGGAACAAGGACACGCCACCGCGAAACACGTTTCCAATGCATACGTGCCTCAGCAACATGCACCACATGCAACATGTATGTAGCAACATGCTTCTGCAAAGGCAGAGAACAGTGCAGGCAGACTCTAGGCCGACCCCAGACAGGGCCAACGGAGACACAACAGAAAGAAACCCAGCAGGCCCAGGAACCTGCACACCAGGCGACCGACGGCGGAGATACCTGCTCGATACCTGCTGGATGGGGTTCAGGGAGTTCATTTATTCCCCAAGCCCGGCCCAAGGCTAGGTTTGACTTGTGAGAGGTTGGTCCACCAGGCTGTTGCTTGGAGAAGCCCGCAGGCTCACATACCCACCACAGCCAGGATGGGCTGGAACCTATATTAGAAAACAGGCTAGTGTTCTCATGAAGAAGTCTACGGATGTACCAGCAATATGGCATATGCTCGCAGGTAGGACGTTTAACAACCGCAGACCTCTGACGTTGTTTCCCCGATTACACAGTGTTCCCCGATTGTGCCTATAGCACCACTGCTCTCCACTGGTACTATCCTGCATGTTCTTCCATATAGGCGGGACCAAAGAGCCAGAGCTCAAACCCCGCAAGCACAACCAGGTGAGCCCTACCAGGTGAGTACATAACCAGCACCACAATCCACACACCTCATAACACGAAAGAGGTGGGCCCCCTGAATGACCCTAGCATGGCTTGGACATGCCTATGAGTGGGACTGGAAGGGTTGAAAAGGGACGGTCACCGGTGTGCCAACGATCTCATTCGTACATAAATATACCTAAATAAAGACAGGTATATAAACATCTCTGCATCCAGTGCCCGGCCGAAAGACACCAGACCGCAGAAACTCACCTGTCGAACGGAGGCACGAACGTGACACGACCCAAAAGTGCCAAGAAGATCCTGGGAGCACCGCCAGGTGAAGAAGCCAGAGCCAGACACGCAGGAGAGCAGGGTAGAGGCGAAGGAGGAGGCCCACACCCATAACACAGGGAAAACCTCTGCGTCCTCCCCACAGCTGTAATCCAGGACACCCCCGGAGCGAAGGTGCACATACCGGAGAAGGGAGAAGAGCGAGAGGTGAAGCACCCAAGAAAAAGGGTGCAAAACACCAGCACTGAAACACACTGCCTAGACCAAAACAAA